TTGTTCAGATAATAATTGGTCTCAATTCATTAAAAAAACTGTGCTGGAACTATAGCCCAAATATGCTAGAGAAATTTTTTTTCAGTATAAAACAGGGATGTTTTTCAGTGCTAAGTGAGAAAAAATATCTCATCAATTAAGTCAGATAAGTTAGGCAAATGCTGTAATAGATTGAACAAATTACTGCAGGACTTCTCAGAGTCTTAAATAAGAAAGTATGCACTGCAAACATCAAGGATTCAGGTATATTATATAGTACTTTTCTATCTATTAAGCTACAAATCATTTCCATTTTTCCATGTCTTTTTTCAGTCTCATGGAAAAAGTCATGAATAACTTAATAAGTAGACCTAAAGTGTCACATTCTTTTTTTTTAATATAAAGAGACAGTATTCCACATAGTTTATTTCTCACAGCTCTCCTGACAAATGAACATTATTCAAGAAAGTGTCACATTCTATGTAAACAAAGTCTAAAATGAAAAAAAAATTTTTACTATGAAATAATTTATGGTCTAGGTAGAAAGAAATCCTCACTACTTCATTTTCCATCAAATAATGCTATCTAAAAAACAATGTACAAGATAGCATAGTGATATGTGATTGTTAAATGAGTGATGTTAAAAATGTTTCAATGTAAAGTTGAGAGAAATAGATAAAAAGAGCACTATTATGCATGCACTTATATGTAGTGGGAATCTTTGGTGGTGTAGTCCCTACAGAATTGTGCTGTTAACCCAAAGGCAGAGCCACTCTAGTGGTTTCTATCCATCAGCAGTTCCAAGAGAGAAAGATAGGCAGTCTCCTCGCTTGTGATTTAAAGCCTCAGAAACCCACTGGAGGTTCAGCTACGGATGAATTCCAAATTGATGTTGGGGTGGGGGGGAGAGAGAGAGAGAACATGAGGGAGAGAGACAGGGAGAGAAGATAAGGGAGAAGGAGAGGGAGAGGGAAAGGGAGTGAGGGAAAGAGAGAGAGGGAGGGGAAGAGAGAGAGACTGACTTAAGTGTGAGTGTCTGGGAACCCACAACTCAAAGTATGGTTGCTCCATGGAAGATGTAATCAACCCAAATGAAAGCTAGGATTCTGAATGCAGGTCAGCAGAAATACAGTAGACGAGCCCTTTACAAATGTCAGTGGGCATATGAACCACCTGGGAAGCTGAACTGACTCCGGAGATTTTTGGTGAGGGTCAAGATGCTCCATTTCTAAGAAGCTCTCAAATGATGTGGCTATTGCTAACTCAAGGATCATGCTTATAGGAGCAAGAACTTAGATGAGGAATTGGCAAACTTTTTCTATAATGGTCCAGATTGTAATTATCTTGACTTTGTAAGACTTACAGTCTCTGTCACAGTGACTCTGCCATTGTTGTGGGCTAGCATCCATAGAATAGCATGTAAACAATGAGCAGGGCTGTATTCCACTAAAACTTGATTTATGAATGCTGAAATTGGAGCTTTCCGTAATTTTCAGGTCCTAAAGTACTACTCGTTTTTTATAAGTTTTGAATATATTAAAATGTCAGACTTACTCAATTTATTCTTATCACACAGGCTGTACAAAAATAGAAAAGCCACAGGCTGAAGTTTGCTGATTGGCAACTTGTTGTTGTTGTTGTTAGGGCCCTAGAGTTGACCCTGACTCACAGGCGCTCTGTGCACAGTAGATTGAAACCTTGGCCAGGACTGCATCATCCTAATTATCTCTGTTTACATTGTTTTTATTTTTTTTAAATTCTACTAGTTTAATTGAAAAATTAGAATACATTGTTTTCAAGAACAAATTCTTTGCATTTCCCTCACTGTGCAAAAAAAACGAAAGTGTTTAAATGGGCTGTGTGTTTCAGCCCATGTACGTAGAAGCTATGTCAATCCATCTCAGCAAATTAGAGAACAAGCTAGTACCTCCCCTAGACCGTTGTTTTTATGTGCCTTGGAGTAGCCTGCGACTCATAGCAACCCTATGTACAACAGCCCTAAACCCTGCTCTATCCCATGCCAATCTTATTGTGTCTGAAAAACCTAACCCCATTACCCCAGTCACTGAATCAATCCACCTCATCGAGGGTCTTCCTCGCCTGCAATGTCTGTCCCTCCACTTTCCCAAGAATGACGACTTTCTGCAAGGACTGGTCCTGCCTTGCAACATGTCCAAAATATGTCAGAGGAGGCTTCAGAATCCTTGCCTCCAAAGAGAAGCCTGGCTTCACCCTCTCCCGGATGAACTTGTTGGTTCTCCTAGCAGTTCATGGTATATTCAATACTCTTCTCCAGCACCACAGCTCAAAGGCATCAATTCTCCTTCTGTCATCCATAGTCATTGCCGAACTTTCTGATGCATAGCAAGTAATTGCAAAGAATCAGGCACACCTTAGCCTCTGAACTGACATTGTTGCTCTTCAGTACTTCGAAGAGGTCTCTGACAGCAGACTTTCCCAATGCAATTAATCTTTTAATTTCCTGGCTGCTGGTGTCAATACTTCAAGAGTATTGACTGTAGAACCAAGCAAACAGAAGCTGTTAACAATCTCAATCTCTTCACCACCTTTCATGATGCTGCAAATCGGCCCATTATGAGGATCTTTGTTTTCTTGATGTTGAGCTTCAATCCATATTGAAGGCTGCAGTCCTTGACCTTCTGCAGCAAGTGTTTCAGCAAGCAGGGCTGTGTCATCTGCGAAACATTGGTCAGCACAATTTTCCTGTAAAATACATCTTTACAAAGAAGATTAATCTTTCACCACTTAACCCTCAGTGGTTTTTCTCTATGTCAGTTTTCCCTATGAGTTAGTTTATATTCCTCCATTGTAGGTTAAGAATACTTTGACAGTATAGACCGACAAAAACACCTAACCAAGACCAGATTTCATCAGATATAATTCATTATGCACATAATACACTACCTACAACATTGAAGATGCCCAGAAAGGGTTTTTTGGGGTTTTGGGTTTTTTTCCCCTTCAGTTTGATTTGATCTCTTAAAGGAGCCTGTGAGCATAGCCTTAAACAAGAGTGGTCTCTAGATGGGATTAATAAAGACAGGAAGTAGAAAGTAAGAAGTATGGGGAGAAAAAAGAAAAAGAAAAAACCCCTCGAACTCATTGACGCTGAGCTGATTCCACTCACAGTGACCTTACAGGCAGAGAGGAAATTCGCCACAGATTCTCTAAGGTGGCCTTTCTAGGAGCAGACTGCCACAGCTCTCTCCCGCACATGGGTTGGGTTTAACTCATTAATCTTTTGGATAACAGTGAAGCACTTAACCACTGTGCAACCAGGACTCCTTAAGAAAAGGCAACTAGGCAGATAGTACATGGAGACTGAGTAGGAAACAAATGCATAAAAATAATCAACAGAAGCTAAGAGTCAATATAACAAAATAGCATAAAACAAAATCAGGACAAATTTATAGGAAGGACCTCTATGTCAGATCAGTATTTAAGAGGTGATATAATCAGGGAGAATTAGAGTGCATTGATCTGGAGACAGAGTACAGAATTGTTAGTTTACTGGTGATTGAAAGATGCACTAAAAGATTCGAGCTTTAACTTGAATCATGCATGAGGATCTGGACAAAAGCCATGAAAAGGGCAGAAAAGAAGGAGTAAAAGATGGCTCTGAGCAGGACAATTCTCTGGGACATATGAAAACAAAGAGAATGACAAGATGTTCTAGAATCAAGAAATACTAGACTTCTAAATTAGCATCTAAAAGTTATATACAGAACATTATATGGGATGCCCAGAGGTCTAATATAAGTCCCTCCTTGCCTAAAGTTGTATTTGTTGGACATCTCCCATATTCAATTCCTATGGTGGTTCTGGTGTTAATACTCTGAATATGAACAAGCTGATTTGTTTCACTACATTTATTCTCAAATTGGATATAGAAAAATTCCTGTATCTTATCGTCCTAAAATACAGAGCAATTTAGAGAGTTAATCAATCATTAGTGCCATATTTTCATGAAAAGATGCCAAGTCCAAAGAATTTTATGGAAGATTAGACCAGAAAATCTTGAAATGCTGATTAAAAACTAAATGGACAGTATTGTCCCAGAGACTACAATCCTGTTAGTTTGCACTTAGTGGCACATTCCTATATTTTTTTCCCCCCCAATAAGTCAGACTTGGCAGGTTTTCAGGAGAGCCTTGCACTTTTTTCTTTTTCTAATGTAAAGGCAACAAAATCCTGTTGAGAATGTAGGGTGCAGGGGAAGTAGAGATGGTCAGAACCTGTGTTAACTAAAGTAGATCATCAGCTTGCAGCCTCCAACGCCAAAGGCCTAGCAGTGTGGGAAAGGAAAACCGCTGATGAGCAAGAAGGAACTGCCTCACAGCAGCTCCACCTCCAATGTCTTGAGGCCATTTGGTCAGCAGGAAAGTTTTGTTTCTATTAGGACTGTGGAAGGCATGAAATCTGATCCTGCTCAGCTGATCTGGAGTCTTAGGGTCAACCAAAACACTGCTGTTGGTGATTTTTTTTCCTTATTACCACAGTTGGTAAGTTACCCTAATAAATCAGGTATTTTGAGCATAATGATTTTATTGCTTTCCTGGTTTGGAGGGTTTTTTTTAATTAGGGTTTTGGAAGGCTTATTTGTTTGGTTTTTATTGAGTTTTTTTTAAAGATCAGAACAGTAGATAAAAGTATAATAAACTAAGAAGACATTCTAAAATATTTTTATCAACTGCTTTGCATTTCTTCTTGTTTTGTGGCTGAAAGAGTCTTTCCAGATTTTATAAAGTTCTTCATTTCAAGGTTGATTAAATGGACAAGATGTTTTACAAAGAAAGCCTATGGGAATTGTCTAGTCATTAATTTCACGGTCTAAAATGTTTAACTTCCATTGGTAATGTTGACACAGATCTTTTTATTTTTTTTTTTCATCAAACAAGCATCTTACTACATAGCATCTAGTTTTTCACATCTGCTTTATTGTTTTAAATACCATCATTTCCTTTCTTTCTCTCCTATCCCATGACTCCACTTGGCTGCAGATGGTTTTCTGAGGGGAAAGAATTGCACAATTCTCCTGATATTCAGATCCACTGTGAAGGCGGAGACCTCCATACCTTGATCATAGCAGAGGCCTTTGAAGACGACACGGGTCGATACACTTGTCTGGCAACAAACCCCAGCGGCTCAGACACAACATCTGCAGAGGTGTTCATTGAAGGTAAGGAGAGGTGTATGGCAAAAGCATATGAATAGCCTAAGAACCTGGATACTTGTAGGACTTTATTCTGAATATGAATTTCCAATGGATTCAGTGTAATAAAGATAGGATTCAAGTCTCTCTTTTCCTGAGAAACTTCATAAATAAGAGTTTAACACTTAAGCACCCATTGATTTCACTAAAGTCAGTGTTTGTTGTTTTTGATTAGAAGTATTTCTTTTACATTACAATTAATCTGTTTAGAAATGGGAAATACCCAGTTTAGTTTTATCTTTAAATAGTGAACAAAGAATGGGAACCTAATTCAAATGTCCTGTCTATCAGCTGAAGGTACGTTTTGGATGGTTTTGAAAATCATTCATGAGAATATTAAGTGATAGAGCATTTAAAAATGTTTTCATTTTCACTGAATTCTATGACATTTCATTTTTTGGTTAAAGCTCTATGATTAATGCTAATGTACCATGAACTTGCAATCACTGAGAGTAATTTAGAGAACCTGCGTTATCGTAAAGGTGGGAAGGCTGAACATGGAGTATGTCCATTGTTCTACCAATCTATGTTGACAAGAGTTAGCCCTTAGGGAATTAGAAAAATTGAAATCAAATTATCTTTTTAGAAAGCACATATTATTATTGTCATTTGAGCAACACCAATAATTTAAAATACTTTGAAGTGTTTTAAACACCAGAGCATTCGTATTGTCTCTAGATTTAGTAACTGGTTGCCTTTTAAAAAAATAGTTAATCAGTATTTGTTCTTTTGTGACTGAGACATTTCACTCAGCATAATGTGCTCCAGGGTCCCACATGTTGTATAATGTTTTATGAGTTCATTGTTTTTCAGTGCTGCATAGTAGTCAATTATAGGAATTATATAGTTTCATAGAAACACTGTTATAAAGCAGTCTGACATTGGGAGTTGGGAGGAGAATAGGATAAGAGTAGATAACAAACAGTACTCTGAAACAGATGAAAGAAAGAACTGTCTAAAAGGAATATATGATTAGGCATTATACATACAACAATAGCCCAGAATAAGAGGTATATCACTGCAGAGAGGACTGAGGGGTGGGAGAGGTAGGTAATTGGTAAACAATGAATAAATACATTTTTTAAAAAAAGAGTTGCACAGTAAAGTGGACTTTGGGGGGGGAGGAGGATTTTATAACAATGAAAGAATTTTTTCTTTTTTATTTTTCTTCGAAGAGAAAAGCAACCTGGGGAGAGGAAAGAGTGCAGCAATGTATGAATGGAAATCCAAAATCTCTATAAACTTTCATTAAAAGTTAATAAAAAAGAAAAAAAGTGAACTGAGGATGTGGAAGGGAGAGAGGGTAAAATGTGCAAAAATGAATAAATTAAAATATAACTTACCTGTAAAATCTCTAAGTTCTCCACTCTTTTACTCTTCATCTTTTTTACTATTTTTTTTGTTGCTTAATATCAGATGAAATAGAACTATCATGAACATCTCCTCCAGAAATGGCAAGTTGTAGTTTTAAGTAAGAATTACTAATTGTTTTCAAATTGATCCCACCTCAGACTGTCCCCAGGTATGTCAGAACTTAATTTCTCCATATGCTTTCAAGGCTATGACCTCTTGGAAGTGGATCACCAGCCTTGTCTTCTGAGGTCCCTGTGGGCTGTCTTCAACTACTAGTCAAACGCAACTCCCCCGAAAAATAACAAAGAAACAAACAAAAACCCACAAGCTAATAGTCAAGAGCTTAACCATTTACAAGGCCCCAGGAATTGATGGCACACCAATTGACATATTTCATTTAAAAGATGCTCCCTCAGATGTGTATATCAAGTTGTGCCAAGAAATCTGGAGAACAACCATTTGGCCAACTGACTGGAAGAGATCTATATTTATTCCCCTTCCAAAGAAAGGTGATCCCACAGAGTGTGGAAATTATTGAACAACATTAATATCACATGCAAGCAAGATTTTGCTGAAGTTTATCCAAAAATGACCGGAACAGCACATCAACAGAGAACTACCAGATGTGCAGGTTGGATTTAGAGGGGGCCGTGGTACTAGAGATACTGTGGCTAATGTTAGATGGATCTTGGCTGAAAGCAAGGAGTACCAGAAGAATGTCTATCTTTGTTTTATTGATTATGCAAAAGCATTTGACTGTGTGGATCATAACAAACTGTGGCTAACTCTGAGAAGAATCGGAGTCACAGAGCACTTGATTGTGCTAATGCAAAACTTATACTTGGACCAGGAAGCAGTTGTCAAAACAGAGCAAGGTGCAATGAAAAACAAGGAATTGATGCAATATTATTCAAAATGGGTGACCTTGGAGGACATTATGCTGAGTGAGGTATCTCAGTCACAAAGGGACAAATGCTATATGGTGCCACTGTTGTAGAATGAGGCTGGCACTGGGGTCAGG